CCCCCCACGGAAACGGGCAGACACATCTCCACACATGTTATTTCCCCCACGTGGCTGCATCTTGGCTCAGGGTAGGTCAGTCAGGGTTGGTGTTACCGTGACTAACTGGCCTCTTCTTTTTAATGGAGCATTTCATTTTCCCTGGAGTTAATGTTAATCTTCTCCTGTTTGTTTAGTTTCTGTGTAATTATTGCCAGTAACAAACCTCTAACTCACTCCACTTGTGGGATCCCTTTCTGTTCACGGTTGCTCCACTGTTTGCAATATACACAAACAAAAAGCCTCAGTCCAGTTTCAAATAGCCTGATGCCAGTTCATGGGCAGTGCAGGTGACTTGTAGCAGAGAATTCCAGATCCCGTCTCTTGTCCCCGCGGCACTGCTGTCACTCTGCTCCCCTATCCATGGCTGTCATCACCCACTACGCCGCCGTTACTTGGGACATGTGACTGTTAGGTTGCCTGAGAGTGGGAGACGTCAGAGACATTGTTTTACCTTCGCTTTTTCTTCCTCCGAGGCTCTTCCTTCCTTTACACGGATCTGCGTTTCTGACCCGCGTGGCTTCCCTTCTCTCTGAAGGACATCTGATAGCCTTTCCTGAAAGGCAGGGCAGTGGGCGATGAGCTCCTGCGCATCCTGTTTGTCTGAGATAGTCTTTACTTGTCCTTTGCTTCTGAAGGATAATTTCACTGGATGTAGAATCCTAGGTTGGTGAACTTTTCCCTTTCAACACTTCGAATGTGTCAGTCACTCTTTCCTGGCCCCCATGATCTCTGAGGGGAAGTACCATGTGATTTTATCTCTGTTCCTCTGTAGATGAGGTCTGCCATCCCTCGGCTTCTCTGCAGTTTAACTGTGATGTGCCTGGGTGTGGGCTTTTTGGTATTTATCCTGCCTGGTGTTCTCTGAGCTTCCTGGATCTGTGCTTCGTGTCAGCCATTAATTTTGGAAAATTCTCAGCCATTGCTACCTCGCGTGTTCTTTCTGCCCCTTCTCGCTTACTTCTCCTGGTGTTTCTAATTGTGTGCATGTTACACTTCTTGAAGTTTCCACACAGTGTTCGGATATTCTGTTCATCTCCATTTTTTTTTTAATTTGTTTTTTCTCTTTGAAATTCAGTTTGGGAAGTTTTTATTGACATGCTTTTAGGCTTGGTGATTTTCCCCCTCAACCCTGATGTCCAGTTTGCTGACAAGCCTATCAGAGGCTTTGTTTATTTCTGTCATAGTGCTTTTTATTCCCAGCATTTCCTTTCGGTGCCTTCTTAGAGTTTCCACCTCTCTTGCTTACATCACCAATTGGTTCTCAGGTGCTGTCTGCATGTTCCATTAGAGCCCTTTCCATATTAATCATAGTTAATTTAACTTTCCCTGCCTGATAATTCCAAATTATGTGTCATGTCTGAATCTGGTTCTCGTGCATTTAGTGTGAGGTTTCTTGTTAGTTTGGGTGGGAGATGGAAAATGAAATAATGAAGAGAAGGACATTTAGAAAAGAAATTGAGTAGGAGTGTGTTTAATGTTGTGGTAGACGTCCGCTTTCTCCAGTGCCCTTGTGTCTGTCCCTTCTGTTCTGGGGGTTTCCCTAGGGACTCCTCCTTACATAGAGCCTGTGTTTTACAGCTCTTTCCATAGACACCCACTGTTACTAAGTTCACTTCATATTTATACTATGATTTTACTGATAGTTTTGCCTGTTTCCTGGAGTTTTTAATTTCCTTTTGGCTTTCCTTGCGTTGTTTGCCTTTGTTTGACCTTGTCAAATAAAGACAAATCCAGACCTAGCAAAGAGAGACCTTATTTGAAAAGACTGTTTCAGTAGGGAGGGGAGGACTATCGTTATGGGGAGAGGGGGCTATTGCAATAGGGCAGGGGCTCTGACCTTGAAATCTGCAAGCATCTCCAAGTTTAGGCAGAAGAGGGCTCTTATAGTGCAGAATAAAGAAAGAACTGAGTAAGGGGCAACGAGATGAGTGGGTAGTGCGGTCAGACAGTTGTGGCAGGAATGTCTTTCCTTGCAGTCAGAGTCTCATGAAGGTCCCTACAGAGGGGCTGTTTCACATTCCAGTGTTGGCAGGGGTCTGAGGGAAGGAGAGAAGATTGGTTTAAGTTTGGTCAAATCAAGTTAGCAGGTATTTTGTCCAGATTGGTCAGCGAGTAAAACATGGTCAGCCAGGCGTTTATAAGAATAGGAGTTCGGAGGACTGTGTCCACCTTGTCGTGGGCAAACCTACGGGTGTTCCTAAGTCCTCTGGGGAAAAGGCGGCTCTTTGCTGTAAACCATTTCCAAGGACATAAAGGGGGGGTGATTTCTTTCAACATCGCTGGTTTCCAGGGGCATGGGGCTCAGGCAAAGTTCCATGTGGTCCACCTTCAGCTTTCCCGGCATTCTGTCCCACTTCCTGTTGTCTTTGGTTCTTTCCCTGGTGCCCTCCAGCCTAGAGCCTGGCCCCACTCTGCTGTCCTAGGCCTGCTGCCCAAGAGCATCCTTGTCTGGATGCTCTCCTGGGATGGGCGCCCGCATTCCCAGCCTTTCATATCTTTTTATTTAATTTACACTCATATTTTGCNCCCACTGCTCTCCTGGGATGGGCGCCCGCATTCCCAGCCTTTCATATCTTTTTATTTAATTTACACTCATATTTTGCTGGAATATGTCCTGAAGTAATCTCCTAGGAGAGGGTGGACAAGAAGTAAATTTTCTGAGTTCTTGTTTGTCTGAAAAAAAATTTTTTAATTTTCACACCAATTAATAGCTTTTCTGAGCATAGAATCCTACGGAGGAAATTATTTTCCCTTAAAATTTTGAAGACGTTGCTCCATTGTGTTCAAGCTGTGAGGAGTCCCATGCTAGTGCGTGTGTGCATGCATGTGTGTGTGTGTATGTGTGTGCACGTGTGCGTGTGTGTGCGTGTGCATTTGTGCCTGCGTGTGTGTGCGTCTAGAGACAAGGAGAACCGTTTCATCTTCAAATGCTTATGTGGTCTCTTCTTTCTTAAACAGGGTCTCTTCTCACTAAATCTATTTCCAGCTGAGCAAGAATTCATAAGCATTTGATGAATAAATCACGGAAAAATAGCAGCAGATAAATAGCTAACTAAATGATTATAAGAGAGTCTTTCAAAACATAGTCATTCTTGGTACTTTCATAAACAACAACAAAAGGACTGGAATTTCCGTGGTCCACCTTTCAATGGGGGTGATCAACTTTCTCAGGAATTGAGGCCTTAATGAGGCTCCATTGCTCAGTCACTTGTCTCTTCTCAAAGACCTCTTGATGATAAACATCTCCGTTATTTGTAATTATATGTAGATTATTCTTTTCCAGATCCAAAATAGACTTTTCTAAATAATACTGAGGAGATTAGCATATGCCTTTGATTTTATTACTAAATTTTAATACCAAGTTGGCGGTTTATCCTGCTGATGAAATAGGGCTGATTATCGCCCGCTCCCCGCGTCCCGTCACGTGAACCAGCGCTGCGCCTGGGGCAGGCCGCTCTGCAGCTGCGGGGCAGGGACGCAGCGCTGGCCGAGTCCCTGGGAACTTCTCTCCCTGCTCACCAGGGCCCCAAGCTCTTCCTCTATGACGCGCTCCTTCGGCCGAAAGTTTGGGCATTAGCGTGCCAGGAGCTCCCAGAGAACTTAAGTTACAGAACTGTGGACTCTGAATGCAATTAAACTTTATTCAGAATTATTTTGCATCTTTAGTAAACTTGCTTTATGTTCTCATGAAACCTTAGGACTTTTTCCCTCACAATATATTCTCTTAGGGTTTAAAGGTACTTCTGCGTTGGAGTCGAGGGCAGGAAGGGGCCTCTGTTTCCACGTGGATGTCCTACCAACACGCGTACTCAGACGGAATCTTTATTTGAGAAAAGACTAAGCTAAATAGATTCTGTAAAAATGGCTTTCGAGTGCTCTCAGCCTGACAACTTAGTTTCAGCCATTCTTGAAAAAGAGCAATTGTATATTTTACTCAGTTCCTCTCCTTTTCGCTGTCTTTGGTGCATTTCTCTTCTTTTCAGGTTCCCCTGCCTCTTCTCAGGGCAGGCCCTCACTACTGAGGCCTCCCCGACCACAACCCCTGCCCTCCAGCGCCCCTCCATCCTGCTCCCACCCCAACCGCACCTCCATGGTCTTGCCTCCAGGCCGCCTGTAATACTCTGCCAATGTCGCATCCCTTCCTTTGCCCTGGTCGTGGGCCAGATTCCTTAGCTGGGCCTCCTCTTACCATCTTCTCCAAACTGTGAGCCCTACTGCCCGGCCTTCGGGTCCCAGGGCTTCCAGCCAGGACACTGTGGCCTCACCAGCTGGCTGTGGCCCCACACTCCCATCTCTCGTATCCCTGACCTGCTCCCTTATTTACAGATTCTGTGTGTGCCTGTCTGCTGTCGTGATTAATTGGCATGCGGGCGCCCACAGGCCAGGGGACAGTGTCTTCACATCACTCATGTTCTCCACAGCATTCCATGCTCAGCAAGTGTTTGTTGAATGAATAAGTGATAAGGTTTTTTAAATTAATATATTCTTTTTTTTTTTCTTCCTCTGGGGACAAGTTGGGGGATCAGCTGGCAAAACAATTCCATCAATTACCACGACTTCTTGAGAGCAGTAGAGAATAGCAAGCCTTTGAGACCCGAGCCAAAAGAGAAGGGCGGGCCGGTCAATTTTGCGAAGCTGAATCCAGAGGAGGTTCTGAAGAACATCCAGAAAGTGGTCGCCTCCTCCAGTCCGGCTCTGTCCACGGTATGGCAGGCTCCAAAGGGCTTTTACTGTGGAGACTGAAGCCCCAGGACCCGCGTGGATCCACGAGAAGTGACTACCAGCCCTGCCCCTCACCCAAGACCGCTCCCACCTCTCCACTCTCCAGGGTGTCAGGACTCAGAGGAGCTGGTCAAGGTCACATTGCTCAGTGTGGAGGAGATGGCTGTCCAGATTGGCTCTAGGAAAAGCTCCCGTGCCCTGGCCAGGTGGCTCGGTTGGCAGGAGTGTCGTCCCATACACCGAAAGGCTGCAGGTTCAGTCCCTGGTCAGGGCACATACCAGGTTGCAGTTTTGATCCCCAGTCAGGGCACGTATGGGAGGCAACCAATTGATGTTTCTTCCTCACATCAATGTTTCTCTCTCTCTCTCTTCCTCTCCCTTTAAAAATGAACATATCCTCGGTGACAGTTTTTTAAAAAGCTTCCACAATTGCCCCCAGCACGTGCTCTCTGAGGCAAAATGCTCCGTGTTTAGCAAATGCTGGATTTGGGGGGAGGGCAAGGGGTTCCAGGCAAAGAGAGCAGAGGACAGAGGTCCTCAGGTGGGAACGGGCTCGGCACATCCCCGAGCACTGGGCCCATGGAGGTGAGTGGTGCCCGGAACTTTCTGTGAGGATTAACATCGTTGCCTTTATTTTACTGGTCAGTAAAATAAGGTGTGTAGAAAACCCACACTTGGTGTGACAGGGACCAGGGACAAAGCACATGATGACAGGTTGGGGTGGCCACGCCGGAGAAGCGGGCCCGTTGGAGGGCAGCTTCCCCTCGGCCCTGGCCGACTGTGGCTGAGCTGAAAAGGGGCCGGTGTTGCTGGATCTTCATTTCTCACGAGAAGCTGTGAGACTTTCGAATTTCTAAATGTCAGCACGTTTTTCAGATTTTTCAACAGCGCTGTGCAGGCCAAATAAACCCATTTTCAGGGTGGCTTTGCCCCCTTCTAACTTAAAGTGGTGCCACGGGGCACCTATCAGGATGTTTCTCAAACTGAGGCCCTTGGAACCTTTGGGAGGAACCCTGGCTCTCGCTTCTGAGAACATTCCTCAGGCGATGCTGTTTTAAGCAAAAGGGTGGGATCCCCTGGCCCAGGGAGTGGCAGGTGGTCTGCAGAGGCGCGGAGGGCACTGGAGGCAGCGAGGAGGGGAAGGAAAGGCGGCAGCGAAGGACAGCCATTGGAGAGCACGCCGGACGCGTGCCCCATCTCGGCATAGCTCTGCGGACGTGTCTCAGATGCGTCTTGTGACTGAAGCGACAAAACAATGCCTTTTGTTTATGTCGAGTCTTACAGATTCCTAAGCCCTTCCCCCTTTGATTCCTCCACTCACCCTGTGGCTGGGCGGCTGGCTGACGGGGGGCCGCGCAGACCCAGAGAGCGCAGGCCCCAAGGTCACCTCCTAGGTCCACGGCGCTCCTGAGGCTCATCACACAGCCGCAGGACCTTCTGGGACCCTCGGGACACACGTGCTCAGGTCACTGCTCGCTCTGTGGTCAGTCTCCCTCGCAGTTGCTGAGCCACCACGGAGCAGGCCCCCGGACAGGTGCATTTCCGGTTGCCATGGTGAAACTCAGAGCCGCGTGGGTCCTGGGGTCCCTCTGCTTATACAGAAGCAGCTGAGCCGGAGGTTAAGGGGTTACGGCTGGTAACAGAGTCAGGTTCAAAGTCCGCTTGCCGCCCTGTGGCAGAGGCTCTCCCACGGTGCACAGCTCCCTGGTTCTGCCACGGTCGGAACAAAAGATGGGGAGCTGGGGAGCGTTTCCAGGTTGATGCGAGTGCGCGCATCCCGCCTGTGCCTAATTGGCTCCGAATGAGATTGAACTGCAAGGGATTTGGTTTGGGGTCTGCAAGCACAATGAATTCTTACTTTAAAAAAAAAAAAATGTTAACCTACCACCCAATACAGATTTCCTAGCGCAGTAAAAATGAATGATTTCGTTTCGACAGATGGGAAAAAATGTGCTTTCTTTTTATAGCACAGTTTTGCGCTTTTTCAGTTTGACTGCTGCCCTGCTGGGCTGGCACCGCCTGTCCGGCCCCTGGAGCGCCCGGTGCGGGCCGTGGGGGGTCCTCCCGCGAGGTGAGGGCTCTGGATGACGGCGGGAAAGGACTGCGGCCTCCTGTACCAGCCTCAGGCTGGGGGGCGATGGGGGGGGTGGCCCCTTGACTCCTCCCGGAAGGTCGATTGTGAAGTCAGACTCCCACCTGGAGACCCCGCCCCACCCCCGACGGTGGGATTGCACCCGAGCCTCCTGTTAGGGATGATTAACACCCAAAGGAGCTGGGCTGGAACGATGGGGAGACCTCGGGCCGCGGTGGGGCCAGGGTTCCTCTGCACTCCTGCAATCCGTGTCCAAATGGGAGTCAATAAAGCAGGTTCCCACAGCAGGTGAGCCCTCGCCCTGCGCACGCACCCCACCTGCCTCTGTCTTTAGCCGCGGAGCCTTTGTTAAGTAATTTAGAATTTAGGACGTGCAGACACTTGATTTCATTTGCATTCCGCAGAAGCAACACGTAAGAGAAATATTTCTGGAGTATTCACTTGACGCAGCACCTGCCCCCCCTTTCTTGTAGGCGTTTTCTGCCTTGGATAAGGAGGACACTGGGTTTGTGAAGGCCTCGGACTTCGGGCAGGTTCTTAAGGATTTCTGTTACAAACTAACCAACAACCAGTACCACTGTTTCCTGAGGCGACTGCGACTCCACCTGACCCCCGCTATAAACTGGAAGTATTTCCTCCAGAACTTCAGCTCCTTCCTGGAAGAGGTAAGGAGGCCGGCAGCGGGCAAGCAGCTCTTTTTGAAAAAGGGGCTAAAATTAGTTTTTACAAAATGGGTAATCGATTAAAACCGTGTCAGATAAATTGGCAAGCGCCCCGTGTAATTAGCTCATTCTAAATGAAAGAGTGGCATAAATTCTACGTAGAGTATGGGAAGGTTAATATCTTTTACTTTATTTGAAAGTTATTATCTCATTTTCAAAGATGTGTGGGAGCTTGCTTTTGTCTGGTTGCTTTAGAGTCTCGGGAATCTCAGATCCCCAAAGACGTGAGAAGTGAGGCCCGCTGTGCCTTAGGCCCCACGTGGCAGCGAAGGAACTGGGACCCGCCATGTGCCAGGCCCTGGCCAAGTATCAGTCAGTCCTGGGGCAGAAGTAAATGTGGAGATAGTGGGCTTAGGCCTATGTGTACTCAGCAGGTCCCAGGGAGGACTTCCTGGAGGAGGGGGGGTGTCTAAACACATTGCTTACCCAGGACTGCTCCTCTGGCTGCATACGCCGTATATTCATAGGCCGTTTCTTGATTTCCACACATAAATGGGCTGACATTATTAGAAGCAATTGCAGTCTGGTTTTAACCGGCACAGGTTTCTTCGATCGCCATTCTGTGCCGACTGAGCATGGGCACACGTGAGACATCCAAAAATAAAGCAGCGTCTGAGCCACACCGGGCTTCACTAGGATATGTGTAAGGGCCCGGAGCTGGGTGCTTGGGTCATCGCGGACCCCGTGCTTTTATACACGTGAGCGCCTGAGCTCATGAATCCTTGTTCACCGGTTCAGGGCAAGTTCTTGGAAAGGAGAATCCTGGAGCAAGGACGGGAAGGGTTCTAAGGGGTGAGGTTCATTGTAATAACAGCAGCGAGCCTGCCTAGCGCGTCCCGGGCCCAGGCTCTGCTCTCAGTCCGTTACATACGTTCACTCGTGTGGCGCTCCTGACGTCACTGCGGGCACCCGCCAGAAACATCCACCTCACAGATGGGGATGCTGGGCACGGAGACGTTCGTAGCCTGACCACAGTCACCCTGGAGGTGGGAGGGCCTGTCCGTGAGCCCAAGAAGCTGGCCCCGGCTCCCGGCCCCTAATCGCTGTGCCCTCTCCTCCGGAGGCTGAGTTTTTCATCGTTGCCGTTTAGGTGGAGACTCCTAACCAGCATACACTGCTGGGTTGCGTGCTTTAAAACTGGAGTCATATATATGGTACTCTATCGAACGTTGTCCTCTGCACTTATTTTTTCCTGCTTAATACCGTGTTTAAGATCCGGGTCAGCACGCCGGCTTGTTCATTCCCTCACGCTGCTGCAAGGTCAGCCTACCCGCTGGGTGTGTCCGTCGAACACAGCACTGTGCCGTCACCAGCCTCCTGTTAAGGAGCACGTAGGTTGTGGGCAGTGTCCTCCGTCACCAGCAGAGCACCGGTCAGCCTCTGTCTGTCTCCCGCGCACCCGGGAGTGCCCTGCGTGGGTCTGCGGGCTGGAAGGCGGGCGGGCCACTTCCAGATGCTGCCCTGGTGGGGTGCCAGTCAGCGTGCCCGCCCACCAACCTTGCCAACCCGCGGCATGACCAGGCCCCTTGATCTCTGCCCATATGACAGTCCAACGCTCTGAGTGTCGTCAGCCGCTCAGGCGTCATCCTCTGCGAACTGCCTGTGAGGATCCCAGCCCTTCACCGCTGCGTGAGTCGCAAATACCTTCTCCCAGCCTGCAACTCGTCTTTTCTCTCTGTTTCCAGTGACTCTCGCTATTTTTAATGTGACTTATACTTTATGATTTTAAAAGAAATACATATTCACTGAGGATGTTTTGCAAAATACGGAAAATATAAAAAAGAACAGAGCAACCTAAACCCCTGGTGATGGCACGATGACAGATGGCAACCACCGCGGCTGCCCAGCGAGACCTGCTGCGCTCGCCCCTCCCGAGCCTGTTCTCACCTCACTTCGTGTTCCCTCGGGGGAGGGGGGTCCCCTCATGGATGAGGCAGACCGGCCCTGGGACAGCCCGGCGGGGGCACCAGGCGACTCAGCTTCAGGGCTGACATCCTCTCCACCGGCCCCGCCGCTTTGGAGACCTTTCCCTTCCATTTTTAATGCATTTCCCCCATTTTTTTAATGTGGTAAAACACACAACACGGACTTCACCTTCTTAACCCCCAGCGGCGTCGAGCGCAGTCAGGCTGCTGTGCGACCAGAGCTTTCGTCTCCGCGGCTGAGACGCCCCGTTTCCCCCGCCCCCGCCTCTGGCACCACCGCTCTGCTCCCCTCTAGGAGCCTCGAGTAAGGGGGGCCACACAGGACTTGTCCTTCGGCTGGCGTACGTCAGCGGGCGCCATGCCCGAGCTCCATCCTGTTGCGGCGGCGCCGGGGCCCCGTCCCCGTTACGGCGGG